GTGCTGTCTTGTGTTTTCTCAACATATATTTTACATATCTTCTAATCTTTTTTTCACTCGCTCTCATTACAATTCACTTTTTTTCTTTCTCCTTCTTTTTCTTCTATTAAAAAAAAGCTAAAATTGTGTCCAAACAAAGTTTTAAAAAAATAATTGATTAGATCATTTTTGTTTCAATTACATTGAGGCAAAACAAAAGCCGTCATCACGTGCTCGAAGTGGATAAATACGTCGATCGCAAATTTGTGAACTGAAATCCTATGGTGACTGATTTTGTGGTCGAGAACATTGTATCATCATCCAGACAAATAAATTTAATATTGCATAGAAATAAAGCACCCCCAGAAGACAACAGTGTGAATGCTGACTCAGCATTCCCCTCTGTCACCATAAATGCCACATCATATGATGACTTAAATGAAATTCTGTGTCCACTTGCAATTGACAGCAGCTTCTAGCTATAGCAGCTTAAGGCACTTCTGATAACATTCTTGCCAGAATAAATGTGCAATTCTAAAACTGAAGTTAGTCTAAAAGTTTAGAAAATAGTGTTTAGAAATGTTTTTGAATTTATAGGACTTGTTTTAAGATGTGAGAAATACACTTAATTCTTGAAACAGACTATAAGTTGGTCCATTCTGTCAGAATAACACTTTATTTCTTCAGACTGAAGAAAACGTTAATTGATTTTAATCTTTATACAGAATTCCCCTTCAATTTGCAACATGTTTTTAAGTTTATGGTACAGAGAACATGTACAGATTGGTAGTTTATCACAAAAAATAGAAAAATCACCAGTTTACCTGGACTGTGTGAGCAAACCAAAGCAGCTAGTAAAAGAAAAACTGCAAAATAAACCCAAAAAGGTGATTTGTTCCCACAGGAGAATCAGATTCTTCATTTTTATTGGTCACATGTTTTATCTATCAAAACCCACTTATTACGGCCCTGATTTCCCACTGTAGCAGCATAGCATAGGAGCACATAAAAGAGGTAGTGACTCATTGAATTTTTAAGAAGCTGGATAAAAAGTTTAAAGAAAAATTACCTCCTAGACGATGAGGCAATGAAAAGCCCTGCGGGGAAAAAAAAGGAAGTGTGGTCTCACTCCCCGTGTAGGAAGAACACCCCCGAGTTACTGTGTGCGAGTCTCATGCATGAATGCCTGGTTGATAGAGGACAAAGAGTCTATAAAGKGTCAGAAAATCATATAAAGTTTGGAATTGAGTTCCCCTCACTGATCTCAAAAGAGAATTTAAAATATGATCAAACTTTAATACGCCCAGTGGGAATCATTAAGGGCCCTGATCCCTGAGAAAAAAGCAATATAGCAAATAAGAACAGTACAAATGGGCCACATTAACTATAATGAAACACACAATTTCCAGAAAGAGAAATATGGGAATAATGATGTGAAAAACAATGAAGTGAGCAGAAGAAAAGCAGGAGACCACATTAAGGAAATACAGGGAATATACTACAGAGGAAATCCTACCAAGAGTGCAAAACATGAACTGAAGAAAGATGACATGGCTCACCCAAAACATTCTGTGAAAATAATCAATGAGGTGCAAAGGCTTGTAAAAGAATATGTATGTATCTAGCAAAATACTCATAATACAAAATCACTTTGAAAATACAGAATTGCACAGTAAATATTAGAGAAAATGCAGTGTGAATGCCTATTGCTGAATATTTTAGCTGAAAACTGCTGAAGAAACTGAAATATTTTCAAATACAAAACTTTTAATGCTTGCTGAATTTTAACAGCTGAGGTGGAACCCAAAATTAGCTGAATGATAACTAAAATTTGTTGAAGATCCCAAACTGTGCAAACAAAATCTTCAAAGGGCAGAGAATATCTGAAAAATGCAAAAAAAAAAAAAAATTTAATAAATTTAAAAAAATAAAAAAGTTAAAAATTGCAGATAAAATGTAAAAGAGTTGGGAAAAGCTGAAGAGAAGAGCAGCAGAAGAGGAAGTTGAAGTTTACCAAAGAAAAGGTCAGAATGATAGCTAAAAAGAGCAAAAAAATAAAAAAAAAGGCTACAATCGTCAACACAGAGGATGATGGAAGCTGAAAATAGCACAAATAAGTTAAAAAAGGGCAGAAGCAGAACAAAAAGAAAAAAAGTACTCCTCTTAGTTACAAATTGAGAATATTTTTTGGATTAGAAGCAAAATGCCTTCAAGAATCAAAAATGTGCAGTTCTTTTTGTGCATTCATGGCTTAAGCTTTGCAGTCTCTCATTAATTCTTCCACTAATGATACAATTTTGCAAGCTCTGTAAAGCTCTTTGTTTACTTAAAACAAGTCAGCACATAATTTTAAAATACTTGTCAAATGACCGTTTTGGTGTCACCTATCCATGCACTTTCTTTATCCATTTGATCACCATGAGCTGGTGCCCATGGCAAAGAAGCAGGKTGCATCCTGAACAGACTGCCATGACCACAAACAGAAGAAATTATTTCATTTTTTCACAGTTAAGACCCACAGTTTATAACTTCTCAAATATCTGATGACTCATTCCAAACTCAAAGCTTTGTCTCAAACTTTAAAAAGCCTGACAAGCAAATCAGAAGAAATTATAACTGTTTTCACATGATAAGTCTCGAGAAAATAGCAATTAGACTTTTGGACTTTAAGAAMTACTTATTGAATTTAAAAAAAAATGATGTAAAACCACGTGCAGGACCCAGACAGTTAGTCAAACACAGTTGAGTCTTGCTTCCTGTCTCACTTATTTTTTTCTGCTTCAATAAAGTTTCTGAAAAGCTCATTTAATCCAAAATGCTCCGTGCTTGCATCAAATGGACATTGATAGGAATGGACTGCAGGGCACCTCTGCACAGAGTAACTAAACTTTTGCCACACTGTTCAAGTCTTATCTTTATAGTGTTATATACTGTATATATATTATATATAATAACCTAGTAACTTATTTTTTATTGTTACTGAAAAGCAGAAACTAAAATTAACACTACTTTTTA